CCAACCTCTCTCTGGTCTGTCGATCCCGGTGCTAACCAGAAGCCCGGACACGTGTTTCGCCGGTGTTCAGTCGCTGCATGACAGTTGCGAGGTTTTCGACTTATCAGTAGGTCTGCTGTGTTTTCCCTGTGCCTTCTGTTATATACTCCGAATTTGAAACTGCACCAATTTAGCCCCAGAAATAAATGTGCTAACTTGGAGTAAATCCTTGGGGACAAATCTTTTCAGGCTCCGTCCGAATGTTGATATAAGTATTTGAGCTACACCCCATGGCTTCAGGTGATATAACCACGTGGTATACACAAACTGTCAAAAGGAATTCCGTAGTATGCAGATGTTTCAGGAATCACAGTAATGACTGTACAGGTAATAGCAAAGGATCCAAACACATGTTTCGCCAACTTTCTGCTACCGTATTTTAAATAAATTTCGCACCGAGCCTGAGAAAGTTTGCCACGAAGGATTTGTTCCAAATTAGCGTAATAATTTCTGGGGAAATTAAACGGCTGAACAGCGCTTCTCATCTGCCCTGTGGTTCTGAAATTGCAACAATTTATTCTCAAAAATCAATCCGTCAACTTGCAGTGAATCCTTTGAAGCAATTGTTTTCTGACTCAGTCCGAAAATCGATATAATTATTTGAGCCGAAACCTAAAAAGGCCTGTCTCGGGGGGTTTATTCCAAGTCGGCACATCCATTTCCGAGTACAGTAAAGTATATGAGACCTTCTAGGTGTGTTATGCTGTCCATCAGTCAGTCAAAGGTTATTTCTGGCGCCCTGTCTGTATGTTACTAGTTACTCTCTCTCCCGACACTTCAAGTGTCGTGGATAGGAAGGTTGCTGATGGACGCCCGCTCTCGGTTCACGCAGTTCGTCGCGTTGTGTGTGTGTGTGTGCTGTGTGGAGTGGCGGACTGGTGGGCTGGGAACGGGCTGAAGCAGCACCTTCCACGGCCCTCTCACGCAAGTGAGAGACACGCCGTTCAACCCCCGTTTTGTGAAATCCTGGTGTTTGTGTGTGTATGGGGGGCCAGGTCGTGCTGTGGCGCGCGCAGTCACGGTCAGTCGACCGTGGCAGCCACCGCGCCCGTTCCCCACTCCAGTTTGCCGACCGGCTCGGACGGCGGCCCGGGTGTGGGAATGGGAAGGGAGAGTGAGGTCGACGACTCAGCGCACTTTCCTCACTACAATCAATCTGGCGCGCTTGAAGCTATCACGGTGCGCTAAAAGCCGTGACTTGGAAGGTTGCCAACTGACGGGGTAACTTGGTCCTCCTCCTTAACGGGAGGCGGTCTGAGAGTCAGGCTGCAATGGCTCCTTTTTAATGTGGCCTTTACAACACTCTCACCACAGTGTGGGATCCGAGCCAGGCGTTGGCGGCACGCCCAGGTGCGGTTTCGGCCGTGCCAGCTTCCAAACTCTGTTGTGTTGGTTGAAATCCTGGTTATTCGCTGTGTGGACCAGGGGGTGTGGTGGAACGCCAAGGTGAGGATCCGTCCAAGCCATCCACCTGCGGCCTCCCTCGTCTCCGATCTTCTTGACTCCGTCTTGATACCGGGCCCAGGCGGGGGAGGAGGAGAGAGTGCAGGTAGATGCAGCGAAAGTCTACTGGCACTATAAACCCCTGCGCAAGTCACCGTCCCTGCTCCAACCTGCTGTGGGGCACACGGTGGACATCATCGAAATCGATGGTCGAACTGTCAGTTATTCTCAGGCTTCCCCTTGTAAATTGAGGAAAATCGGATCGGACAAGGGAATATGGACCTCTCGCATTACAAGTGGCCTTGAGCTAGATTTCAGCGAAGTGCTTTTAATTATAGTGTTAACGCTGGCCCTCAAAACCCTATTCTCCCTCTCCCCTGGACCTTAGCGCGGGGCCACCTGTGATATGGGGACCCATATTCCCGCGCCCCGCCACAGGTCGTTATGCCTTGGAGCTCGGGGTTTGTAGCCTTCGCGGCAATGGCATAGCTACGAGCAGTTAAAAGACCATCCTTCTGGACTACCGATGGTTCCGTGTGAAATTTTAGCACACGATGCGCTACTTATTTTCCGTGAAGTAAATTGAAGTGGCCCGACATCGCCATGAGCAGAGCCCCTATGCTGATCATGGAATGCCGCCGTAGACGTGAGGCTTGTCGGGCGCTTTGTAGACAGCATATATAGGCTTGTGGTTATCCTATAAGTATGCGAACAGTTTCTGATCCTACCAGTTGTGTACACAGACTCCGCAGTTCCATGCGCAGTCTCCGGCGTCACCGACTCTGTCCTTAATTCTGCTCGGCTCTGACACAGGCGAGCTCGTGCTAATCCGACGTGACGCTGTCCATCAGCTACTTCAGCCACCACCAACGACAACCCTTACTAGGATCTTCGCCAATGCGAAGAGGACTCTGCCAACGATTGCGACCGTACAACCGACACCATCAGCATTTATCGTGTCAGTTCGGCTAACGTCGGGGCCGTCGAATAGACTGCACCTCAACACAACGATGGCACCGCCGCCGCCGCCAATTCCTATTGGCTACCGCCTGCCTCAGCTTCGACGCACCTGACCCGACTGTCACGCGTACTGGCCAAAGAGGCTTGTGCCTGACCTAAATCATCAGCGCATTTACTTCGCTTGGTGTCGGAGGGGAGTTGTAGGAGGCACGCTGGTGTGCCGGCCCCCAGACTTTGACGGGTAGCCGACCTTCCGCACGGACAGTTGAGGCCACCTGCAGGCGCGCTGCTGGCTCGCGATCCCCCCCCCCCCTCAGGCCGTGTACCTTGGACGCTGACAGGGTCATACTCCATCACCGGTGTCTCGTCAGTACGCGCATGCGCCTGTTTGTCTTGTCCAACCCCGATGGGTTACGATAACGCTAATAAACAGACACCGTTTCGTGCGCACCGGGCGACGATGTCTATCACGCTTTCAACACCTCGTGATCAGACGCCCACGGGACAACAGGCTAATACGTTAGCGACTCGGCCAATAAATTTCTCACGCTGTAGTGGGCATGCCTAACTTGTATGCGACAGTTGGTCAACCGTGGGTGATACGGAACAGTTGTTTCGTGAGAAGCGCGGAGGTGACTGGCGCTTGAGTTTGGGGCAACGATAGGTTGTAGGACCCCCGAGTAGATGGCAACTCCAAAACTATACCCTAGAATACAGTGTGACTGCAAACATTACTTATTATTCGCCGTTCCCATTGTTTGAAATTTCCTTCTCTTCCTGACTAAATGCAAACCTACCAGTGGCCGTGCATTCAAAGTCCGTTACTTTTCGAAAACTGTTTCTTGTTTATTTTCGAATTATCGCGCTCGCTTTCTTTGCCGGGTGACAGCGTACGATATGACCTTTGGCAGAAATTTACCTATTTTCTGTGTCTTCTTGTTCTCCGTCCTGTGTGTTGCCCCGCCCGCAAAGTACCCTCTACCACCATTCAAAGTGTGGCACGGTTCACAGGCTAGCCCAGGTTAGTTGTGGGATCTACACCCTATCGCTGCCGAGTTTGATGCTAGTGAAGCAGACCTCCGCTGCATCTACAGTAGGTGCGCTAGCTCATGAAAGGTTGACCGAAATTCTGAAATGTGTTTTCGTTTCGAAAAGACTACTTAAGTGGAGTTCTAAAATTAATCATCATGAAGCATA